CTAGAGGCGCATGTCACCACATCCAGCTAATTTTTGTATTTTTAGTAGAGACGGGGTTTCACCATGTTGGCCAGGATGGTCTCGATCTGCTGACCTCATGATCCACCCGCCTTGGCCTCCCAAAGTGCTGGGATTATAGGCGTGAGCCACAGTCCCCAGCCCATTGTTTTTAAATTATAAAGTCTAAATCTGTGAGCTAGCATGTGAAGCCCAGTTCTGTTTCTCACCACTTTCCTCTAACCAATTCCACTCACTATGCTCTGGCCTTCCAGTGGTTTCAGAGTGTGGTCCCTGGACCAGCAACATGAGTATCACCTGAGAACTTGTTTAAAATGCAAAGTTTCAGGCCCTACCTTAGATTTAATGAATCAGACGCTCTAGAGGAGGGATCCAGCAATCTGCTTCTTAACAAGGCTTCCAGGGCCTTCAGGTGCAGGCTCAAGTTTGAGAACCACTGGGCAGGTTCTGCTGAACCACTGACTCTTCCCTCCACCCCACTGTATGACATCTCCCTGCCTTTGCGCATGCTGTTCTCTCTGACTAAAAGTCTTTTCTCCCTTCCACTCCTTTTTTTAAAAGTTAAATCAAGGATTATTCCCTCTATACTTCATTTCCTGTTCAGCTCTTTCTTTCCTGATTATGGTGACTGCCACTGTCACCCTTGCATCCACGGAAACCAGTGAAAATGTCTATCATTCATGTGCCATGCTTTGTTGTCCTCATGGTTTATGTGTCTGCCTCCTCAAAAGACAGCAAGCTCCCCAAGGTAGTGACCATATTTGTCCTGGCACAGTGCTGGGACTCAGAAAATGTTCATTGAGTTGACATGTTACTAAAAAGCAAAGTGCAGAGAGGGGAAGGAAGAAAAGGGAAAGTGAAGAGTGTGCAAATGATCAACAACTACCACAATTAGAAAAGCTGTCACTGATTGAGTTCTATCTGTGTGCTGGGCTCTGTGCTAATGCTTCGCAGGGACTGTGTCATTTAATCTTCCCAACAATTCTGTAGGTTTGATCATCCTCAATTAACAAGAGATGGAAATTAAGGCATCGAGAAGTTACAGAATGCACCCAAGTTGCCCCTGGGTGTACATAGTACAGCCAAGATTCACACACACAGTTTTTTCCTCCAGGGTCTATGTGTTTTTGTTGTTGTTGTTGTTGTTTTGTTTTTTGAGGCAGGGTCTCACTCTGTAGCCCAGGCTAGAGCGCATTGGCATGATCATGGTTCACTGCAGCCTTGACCTCCTGAGCTCAAGTGATCCTCTTGCCTCAGTTTCCCAAGCAGGTAGGACCACAGGTGCCACCACGCCTGGCTAATCTTCAAATTATTTGCAGAGATGGGGTCTCACTTTGTTTCTCAGGCTGATCTCAAACTCCTGGCCTCAAGCGATCCTCCTGCCTCTGTCTCCCAAAGTGGCGGTGTTATATGAGATAGAAAGAGATTATTTAGGTAGACAGTTAGGGTAAAGTGAGTCCCAGCAGAAAACTTTCCTTCTAACAAAAAGCAGCTCAGAAATAGCTCTCTTGCTAACCTCATGCAGTTCAAAGAAATCACTTCTCTTCTAACAAAGAACAGCTTGAAAGATCAGGCTGTATAAACACAGATAAACAACTCAGGCACAGAAGGAGGTGGGGAGTCTCCTAGGTAATCACCAAACTTCACACTTATAAAATGGACCCCAGTAAAAACAGTAGGCCTTAATAAGCACATTCCTTTCCTTTTAGGCACACTAAGATAGGGAAGCTAAAAGTGGACTTGGGGGAGATGCCTGCAGCTGCAGGAAGATGTCTGGGAACAGACACAGAAACTCTCCCTCCCAGATAAGCCAAACAAAGCAGCACAAAGCAGCACAGACTAAGAGTCTGCCTACATGATCGAGGAGTGAGGTGAGAGCTGATAGAAAACTCTGCTCTGTGCACATAGCACACCTGGTCCCAACCAAATCTTTGGGCCTCAGTAAGATAAGACACCCCCTCCTCACTAGCCCAATTATAAAAACCCTGACATTTTTACTGCAACTTGGCAACCCGCTCAGGATTCCTCTCTGTGAAAGAGCTGTTCTTTCCTTTTGCCTATTAAACTCCTGCTCCAATCCCACTCTGTGTGTGTGTGTCCGCGACTTCAATTTCCTTGGCCATGAGACCAAGAACCTTGGTATTTACCCCAGACAATCAGGCTGCTTCATTTTGGGGGCCCGTCCAGGATTTGAAGGTGAATTCATTGGAACGGTGAGTAAAGGAGTGGACTCTCTACTTTCATTTCCAAGGCTTCTCATCCCCAGTTGTTATTCTCTCAAAGAACTATTAAAAAAATCAGGCATCTGTTGGCTAATTAATGAGTCACAAGGGCTAGCTGCCAGTGTTAAAGACTCAGATGTGAAGCTTGCTGGGGAGGACTTAGTCAATCCCCCAGTGCCCTCAGGGTGCTGGGAATGTTGGCTCTGTCCAAACCAGTTTCCTTTCATGGAGAATTTTGCCATCACACGGGGCTGGAATAGGTCCCGGGGCAACTGAGGATTTCTGGCCAGGGCTACACCCTGGTGTTGCCCAAAGGCTCCTGGACTGACACCAGCCTCCGACTGCCCGACTGATTGTCGGCCACAAGATTGCCAAGCTTTCCTATTGCAAATCTCATTTTCCTCCTTTCCTTTCGAGGTCACCATGTCTCCCATCCCCTCTCTGTATGCAATGCTGAGGGAATTTTACAGCCCAGAGAAATAATTCAGTTAGGCAGGCTTAGCAACCACCTTAGCAACCAGAAATGCAGGTCAAGGGATTGCTGTTTTTGTGACTTTCTACTGACAGGGGGATTTCATGATCCAGATCTGAAAGGCTAACTCCTAATGATAGCACTTCCTGGGGTTGGGTAGAAGGTTATCTCTCCACCAGTGAACATCCCTCTCTCCACCTAGGCTGTTTCTTCTCCCATGTGAGGAGCCAGCACTACCCAGCCGGACTGGATAGTCCGTCTATGAGGCGAATTAACTTTCTCCTGCTAGGAGGCATGCCATAGGGATAACCTGCCACATGTCAGACTTTCCCTCTCCGTCCGTATGGAGGCCAAGTTACTGCCGGGTATGTCAAAGCTTGCAGCGCCACCTAGTGGAACAGGAATCCTCTCCATTGGCAACCTAGTCTGCCCTTTGCCAAAAGCCTCTAGCTTTCCACTTTTTCTCCCTTTTACATCCTTCTAATAGACATCAAACCTTATGTCCCTCTGAGAGCGGGAGAACTCTGCTTTCAGCAGTGAGGAAGAAAATGTCCTCCAAAACCAAATTTTAGTCTCAATACTCTCTCCATTAGCAGGATGGCTGCCATTTGACCCTTATATTCTCTTGAGACACCTATTCTGCTTGCAACTAGTATTTCATCTAAATAGAAAGGGGATTTTCTGTTTGGAACCTAACTGGAACCACCATCTAAAAATAAATTCTCTAGTCCATTCCATAACAGCAGAGTATAAAGCTCAGTACAGTACCCTTCCATTAAGGGGCCTTGCTTAAATGCAACTATTACATAATCTCTCCCGATACCCATCCATCAAGGAGCCACACAGATCACACAAGTCTGAGAGGTCAAAGGGCAATTATCAGGCAGAGGACTAAGGTCACATGGGTAAGTGTGACTATCCCCATTACTTAGCTACTCTGGGACCATGGTTTGAGGGTCACGCCAGCAACCATGAGGAGGCACACACTGTGCTGGGACCCAGGGACCAAAGAGAGAGAACCGTCAGGGAGACACTTCCACTGTCGTCCCCTCCACCCTGGGTCACACCAAAAAGAACAAGGAGACTGAGGGATGCCTCTCCTCTTGTCTCTTTTCTAGGATGGGTAGCAAGCCATTTTGACTTGCACTCTGCTGGAGTACATTTTGAACTCCTTTGACACCCAAACTCTGAAGAAAAAGCAACTCATTTTCTTTTGCACAAGGGTGTGGCCTTTTTACCCTCTCAGGAATGAACACACCTGGTCAGCTGAAGGGAACCTTCACTTTAATTTTATCCAGCAATTAGATCTCTTCTGTAGACAGAAGGCCAAATGGTCCAAGGTTCTCTATGTGCAGGCTTCCTTCGCCTTGCAAGACAACCCAGACCTTTGCAAGCATTGCACAACCGAGTCAGCCCTCTTAGCAATCATATCAGACAGGTCTGTGAAGAGTAGTTCCCCTAAGTCAGAAGAGCAAGTTTTGGAGGAGCTATTGGAGGCAGCTTATAAGTGCCCCAGTCCTTCCAGTTCCCTTTATCCAGGGCCCCTTCCAAGTGCACCATCAGCTCCTCCAGCTCCACCATCTCCAAAGCTCCCCACTGCCCCAGCTTCACTCCTACCCCTGCAAGAAATGCCAGATGGAAGGGGCACCATTAAGGTACTTGTTCCCTTCTTGTTGCAGGACCTTGGGCAAATAAATGGGCTGATTTCTTGACAACCCTAATAGATATATAGAAGTCTTCCAAAATTTAACTCAAGTGTTTGACCTCACATGGAGGGATGTTATGCTGTTTCTCAGCCAAACCCTCACTGCAGCTGAAAAGCAGACAGCTCTGCAAGCAGGAAAAAGGTCTGGAGATGAACAACATGTTCCCTATAGTAGACCAAAAAGGAAAAGGGGAGATAAGGAAGGTAAGGAAATAACAGAAAAACCATTCTTAATAGGGAGAGAGACTACACCTCTTGACAATCCTGACTGGAATCCCTGTGACCCCACAGATGAATGGAAAGGGAAACACTTTTAATGTGCATATCAGAGGGCCTAAGAAGGACTAGGACCAAACCTCTTAATTACTCTAAACTGTCCTTGTTGAATCAGAAACCAGATAAAAATCTCCCTACCTTTTTGGAAAGGCTGACAGAAGCTATAATAAAACACACCTCCCTGTCTTCCAATTCAATAAAAAACAGGTTCATTACTCAGGCAGCCTTGATATCAAAAGGAAGTTGCTGAAACAGGCCATGTCTAAAAATCTTTCTAGTTTTTCTCACTCTCAAGTTGAAACTTTGCAGTATGTAAATGACACTCTCCTCTGTGCCCCAATCAAGGAAGTCTCAGGAAGGCACTAAGACTCTCCTCAATTTCTTAGCTAAAAGGGAATATAGAATCTAAAAATCTAAAGCTCAGCTCTGTCAAACTTCAGTAAAGTACCTAGGCCTAATCTTATCAGAAGTGTGGGGGATCAGCCAGAGTGGTGACAAAAACTATAGGGAAAGGACACAAACCTTCTGAAAGGTCAGAAGTTTCTGCAGAGAACCAGAGGAGAATGGCTAAAGCCAGCTGTTCTATAACCCAGAGGCAGAGGGCAAGGAGTAGGTACAAGGGAGTGTGGGGGAATTTATCTTAAACAGGTTTGTTTACTTAGGTTGACCAGGAACTGACCTTGGATCATCCCCGCATGTGACATTCTCTGGAAGGGGAACAATAAATGTTAATTACCTGCAGGTTGTGTTGGCTCCAGGTTTTCAGCATTGTGCTTGCACTGAATAAAAGCAAGCAGCTTCAGCTTCTCAGGCCTGCTGTCTGGCCACTACAGCCAGGCAGTCACCTAGCTGCTCTTAAATTGCATACCTGTGTCTGAGTACTCATTTCATCCATTGGCCAGGGTCTGTGGGACAGACACGGCACTGAAGGAACCAGAGTACCAGGTGAGGAAAGGATTAACCCCGTTTCCTTTAACAGTTAAGAAAATTCTTGGGCATTACTGAATTTTGCAAAATGTGGGCACCTGGGTATGGTGAACTAGCTCATCCTTTATACCAACTCATAAAAGAAACTCAAGCAGCTCCCTAACTTGGGATCCTAAAACACAAACACCTTAAACCAGCTAAATCAAGCTTGCTTAAAGCACCAGTTCTCAGTCTTCCTGTAGGGAAAGTATTTAGTCTTTACATATATCAGAAAGGAAGAAAATAGCCCTGGGAGTTTTGACTAAGACTGGAGGTCCAGCTCTACAGCCAATGGGTTAACAATGGGGAATAACTAAACTGTTTAACTCCACACAATATAACAGGACTACTGTACTCTAAGGAAAGTCTCTGGCTAACAGACAATTGCCTCCTCAAATATCAAGCTTTGCTGCTAAAGGGATCCTGCAGTCCAGTTGAAAACCTGCCCCTGCCTGAGCCCAGCCACTTTCTCCCAGAGAAAACTGGAGAACCTAAACATGATTGTGAAAAAGTAGTGGTGCAAACTGGGGGAAAAATGGTAAGAATCACTGTTTATCTTCTCTGTAAAGTTTTATTTATGATAAAGGATTTTCCTAAAGAGCGCTCAGCTTAATCAAAAGTAGATATCAAACCTATGGGTATATTTAAAAGGTCTTTATGTTTTTCTCTTTATAGATCTTGTTTTCCTGGAAAAGGGAATTTTTTCTCAGTCAACTGAATTCTTTTTTTCACTGTGTCTTACCACTCTTGGTGCATGCATGAAAGACCCTGGAATGACTTCTGGTGGCCTGGTACTCCTTGGGAAAACAGAAAAGGTGCCACAAATCCCATTTTGGGAAAAATCTGTTTTCCTCATGGAACCCCTGGAATTCAAGGTGAATAAATAGTTCTCAAAATCTATCTTTGTCTTCCAGCTTTGCTTGTTTATTAGGCCCTGGAAACTGTATTCCTAGCTCTGTTCTTAAAGGGTCTCACCAGGAGGCCAATAATCCACTGGGAAATTAGCAAATGAAAAATTTTATAACCACTGGATCTTTTCTGTTTGTGTGGTTATATATGTGTTATGTGTGTAATGTCTATTTGAAAAGAGCTATAATTAATTGGCCTAAGAAAAATAATCACTTAAATAAAATATTTTTAAAGAAAAAGTAAAAGCTGTGGTACCTTTCAGTTCACACAATTTTAATCATCAAAAATAAAAACAGTCTTAGAAACTGTTGGTAAAATACAAATGTCTTCAGGGTGTAAAACTGTGATCTAAATTATGCAGGTCAGATACTAGGTTTGATAAATGTTTTAAGGTTGTAACTGCCTTTTTAGCCTTTAAAAATTGTCAACTTGCCTGCTTCACAACTGGTAAGGCCTGGGAACGTATGGAAGTAACCATGCCCCTAACTATGCTGAAAGCAGTCAAACTTTATCTGCATCTAGCACATAATTAAAACAACCTACCAGGTTTTACATCAAAGTTAAAAATTGCTAAGAGTTACCATTATGACATGTAATTGAGACTACTGAACATGAATTTGCATGCAAAGTGTGTGAAAAAAATAGTAAAAGCTGTTTTTAATTAAAGATAGGAAGGCATGGAAATACACATTTTGCCTAGAAATAAAGGATTATCTTAAATAAAATAAAGCAGAAGGTTTAAGCAAATTGTAAAAAGATTGTGAAAATTAATCTTGCAAAGGAAACTCTGTGTATGAACATATTAACTAATTTCAAAGGGGTATTATATAGTTTTATAAATTAAGGATTAAAATACAAGCACAAGGTTTTCTTAAAATGCTAATCTTTAGCAAAATTTGTAGAGGGTCATAAAAGATTTGTGTAAATCTCACCTCATGGTCAAACTGATTAAGATTGAATAGGATTGTCTATAAAGTTTCATTTAAAATCAGGGTTAACATTAATAGCAAACGAATGCAAGGGTGAAATTTAACATTCTCTCTTGGATAGGATTTTCATGTAATAGAAAGGGCTAATGAATGGTTTTTGCTTTTTCAAATTTTTGACTCATTTTGGCAAAACAAAAAACTTATGGTAATCGAAAATTCTATTTCATAATATCAAGTGTTTTAAATGTTGAACATATTTAACAGGCTTCCCAAAAATCAAACTTTAGTTTCAAGGTTGTCTTTCCTAACCCCTAGGTTCTGGTTCTGCACAGGGCCCCTGGAACATCCGGAAGAGGGGTAAATAGGATTAGTTAACTTGTTTAGGTTCATCGAATTGCCAAAATGATGTCTAATACTCTTTAGGTTATATTTTAGGAAATAATATTAACATATGTTCCAAAACTCTATGGGATGTCTAAGGTTCTAGTGTCTGAATAATACATGCTGTTAATCACAATTAAGGTTGTTATGTTAGGTTATTGTAAGCCACAGAAATAGCCAAATTTGTCAATCATGTTCTTGACTGTAACCACCCTGGACATTTTGTCATTTACAAACAATTGTTGTCTTGTTTGAATCTTCTTCTTAAAAAAAATAGTTTGTAATTGGCTATGGAACTTTAATAGGTGCTCTTAAATGCAGGTTTTTGATAAAAGAAAATGTACAGGACTCATACAAAGCTGAAATGTTTATGAATAACAAGCAGACCAAGAGTTAATGGAATGGACTGAACTAATAGAAAACTAAAGCAATATTCTTGATTTATGCTCGTAACACTGGTGATCCTTATTTTGTTTTTCAGATTCAAAGAAACTTTCTTAAAAGCCTTTAAGAACTAAGTAAACTATACTCCTGTAAACAAGGTTTGGAGCATGTTTGTTTCTCTCTGCCTAGTTCCTCTAGAATTTGGAAACTAGTTATAAGTATTCTTGAATTACAACAATACAGTTATTTGCATCAGTGCCACAAGAATCCATTTTCTTTTGCAACAAAACACAATTGGAAAAACCGGTTGTTTTACCAAGGCTTTCACTGCATAGCTTTGACTTGCAGAGCCAATGAAAGCCTCTTGGGAAAACTGGCTTCATACCTTGTCTACACAGTCTCTGTACAGGATTCCTGTAGTGAGTGAGTAAAGAATGTCACTTTCTAACAGGCCTGGAAACCCCACGCTCCTGGAACCTCAAGAAGAAAGAAGTTTATCCAATTCACGGGTATTTGAGTGTACAAACCCATGGCTGGGCTTGGCTTCAAAAGGTCCTATCCAGGATTCCTTGTGAAACAGAGTTCTATCAAAGCCAATCAAAAAGGCCTACACAGAGGTAATTATTCTCGCTGCACTTTTTGCAAATAATCAGGCCAAGTATAAAACTAAAGTTTATTTTGCAACCATCTCAGTCCTATCATAAGTTGTTTTTAATAAAAATGAGAACTGGAGAGAGAGAAATTATGTTCCAAACTTATTGTACATCTGTGATATGGTTTGGCTCTGTGTCCCCACCCAAATTTCATCTTGAATTGTACTCCCAGAATTGTGGGAAGGACCCAGTGGAAGATAATTGAATCATGGGGGCAGTTTCTCCCATACTGTTCTCATGGTAGTAAATAAGTCTCATGAGACCTGATGGTTTGATAAAGGAAAACCTGTTTTGCTTGGCTCTCATTTCTCTCTTGCCACCAACATGTAAGACATGCCTTTTGCGTTTCACTATGATTTTGAGGCCTTCCTAGCCACGTGGAACTGTAAGTCCATTAAACCTCCTTCTTTTGTAAATTGTCCAGTCTCAGGTATGTCTTTATCGGCAGCGTGAAAATGGACTAATACAATCTGTCATTGACTTCTAGTCTCATTAGTTGTTTTTAAATTCTTGTCAATATTTTAAACTAATCATGCTTATTCCTGTAAACCAACCATCAATCTCCAGCTGTGGCTCAAAGGAGACAGAAAGGAATGGGTAATATAAAAATCTGGAACAGTGTTCTAGTTCTAGGCACTTATCCTACAAATCCCGCAAGGTAACCTATAACCCTGAGGTTTCCTTTTGCGGGGGGTGGGGGGGAGAAAGACCAAGGAAGCTAAACAAAGGCAAGCCCCAGACACCCACTTAAAACAGCACAACTCATCTAAATGGCTCATAGGTATCAAACAAACTCTGTTGTCATGGTTATGGCCTATAGTGCCTCACTAATAATGGTAGTCTTACATGTATTTGGACCCCATATTCTAAACCTCCTTGTAAAGTCTCTCTTCTCACCTAGAAACCATCAAGCTTCAGATGGTGCTGCAAATGGAGCCAAAAATGAAAGCACCCTTCTACCAGGGACCATTAGATCCGACCCCAGGAGGAGCCCTAGCTGCTGTTCCCATACCACGTCCCTCTCCAGCGGGAAGTAGCCAGAAGAAGCTGTTGCCCAATTCCCCCTAACAGCAGTTAGGGGTTCCATACCTGAGGGGGAAATATGTTATATGAGACAGACAGAATGTATTTAGGTAGACAGGGTAAAGCGAGTCCCCAGCAGAAACTTTTCGTCTAACAAAAAGCAGCTCAGAAATAGCTCCCTTTCTAACCTCATGCAGTTCAAAGAAATCACTTCTAACAAAGAACAGCCTGAAAGATCACGCTGTAAAAACAGATAAACAACTCGGGCACAGGAGGAGAGGGGGAGTCCCTGGGTAATCACCAAACTTCACACACCTACAATGGACCCCAGTAAAAACAGTGGGCCTTAATAAGCACATTCCTTCCCCTTTAGGCACACTAAGATAGGGAAACTAAAAGCGGATTATGGGGCGATGCCTGCAGCTGCAGGAAGATGTCTGGGAACAGACACAGAAACTCTCCCTCCCAGATAAGCAAAGCAAAGCAGCACAAAGCAGCACAGACTGACTCTGCCTGTGTGATCGAGGAGTGAGGTGAGAGCTGATAGAAAACTCTGCTCTGTGCACATAGCACACCTGGTCCCAACTAAATCTTCGGGCCTCAATAAGGTAAGACACCCCTCCTCACTAGCCCATTTATAAAAACCCTAACTTTTGTTTTTTTTTAGACAAGAGTCTTACTCTGTCGCCAGGCTGGAGCGCAGTGGTGCGATCTTGGCTCACTGCAACCTCCGCCTCCCAGGTTCAAGCAGTTCTCCTGCCTCCACCTTCTGAGTAGCTGGGACTACAGGCGCGTGCCACCGTACCCAGCTAATTTTTGTATTTTTAGTAGACACAGGGTTTCACCATGTTGGCCAGGATGGTCTCAATCTCTTGACCTCGTGATCCGCCCGCCTCGGCCTCCCAAAGTGCTAAGATTACAGGTGTGAGCCACTGTGCCCAGCCCGCCCTGACATTTTTACTACAACTTGGCAACCTACTCTTGGACCCCTCTCTGTGACAGGGAGCTGTTCTTTCCTTTTGCCTATTAAACTCCTGCTCCAATCTCACTCTGTGTGTGTGTGTCTGTGACCTCGATTTCCTTGACCGTGAGACCAAGAACCTTGGTATTTATCCCAGACAACAAGGCTCTTTCAGTGAGATTAGAGGCATGAGCCACCACATGGCCAGAGCCTATATACTCTTAACCCTTTGGTCTAAGAAAGGAGGGCAGCTTTGGAGCCATTATCAATATTCATGAGTTTGACAAACATTGTCTCAGCAACTCCACCTTGCCAGACTGAGAATACAAATAGAAATGCAGAAAGGGTCGGATGCAATGACAGCTGCTTATATTCCTGCTCTCAAGGAGGGTACATTTTATCAGGAAAGAGAGATCTGTAATCAATAAATATGATTCCTCTAAGAATGTTAACCAAAGATTGTTCAAAGTGCTACTCAGAGCCAGCAGCAACCAGGGTGGATTTGCTTTGCTAGGGATGATGTTGGATTTGGATATTGAGAGAGTAGCATAAGCTCACAAAGCAGAGAAAGGAGGGAGGGAGGAAGATAAGATTCAGGGCAGTAGGAAATGCAGAAATGACTTAAAGGAAGCCTTACCATCTTAAGAAGTCTGGCAAAGAATGACTTGTCTCATGAGGCTGGATTGAGGGATGTTTGCCAGACACTCTGGATCGACTCACTCAACATCTGTTCCCAGTGTTTTGCCTGTTCTGCAGATCTAGAAATAAAGCTACATTTCCAGAATTCCTTGAAGCTATGGTTCTGGATGTGATTCTGCCAAACAGATATACTTTGCAAGGCCTACCAGTCTGTGGTACGCAGTGACAGAACAGTTATTTAAATTATCACTTGCAGACCAGGCATGGTGATTCATGCCTGTAATCCCAGCACTTTGGGAGGCCAAGGAGGGTGGATCACCTGAGGTCAGGAGTTTGAGACCAGCCTGGCCAACATGCTGAAACCCCGTCTCTACTAAAAATACAAAAATTAGCCAGGAGTGGTGGCAGGTGCCTGTAATCCCAGCTATTCAGGAGGCTGAGGCAGGAGAATCGCTTGAACCCAGGAGGCAGAAGTTGCAGTGAGCCAAGATCGCACCATTGCACTCCAGCCTGGGCAAGAAGAGTGAAACTCCATCTCGAAAATAAATAAATTATCACTTGTAGTCACCTGGGAGAAAAAGTATCCATGGAAATCAAAACGTTGGAAGGTCAAGTGGCTATGGTAATAAATCTTCATGGCAAGAGTGAAGAATTCAAAGATTGTGGGGTTGGCTAGCTTCTTGAATTCTTATGAACATAAAGAAAGAAAAAGGTAAGCATGGAGTGACCTGTAGCATCCCAGATCTGGTACCAAATTCTTTGTCAATTAGGATTAGGCACAGCAGCAAGGGACAGATACTCAGAATAACAGTGGCCTGACCAAGTTAGAGGTTCAGTCTAGGTCCTGCCGCATAGAAAGCCAATCACTGAGACAATAAGTATTGCCAAGGAAGAAGGCTTTAATCACATGCTGCAGCCAAGGTATGAGAGCTCAGTCTCAAATCCATCTCCCTGACTGACTAAACCTAGAGGCTTACATAGCAGGGAAGATATGTAACAATGTTTAAGAAAACAGGAACTAGGGAGGGACAAGGAGGCATCTGGTGAGTGTCAGTTCTCTGATACTTTTTTGAGAGGACTGCAAGTCCTTTCCTGAGGAGGGAACTCAGATAAAACAAATGCAAATTTCAAGCTTTAACAGCAGAAGGGGCCATTTCTATGTTTATCCAAAAACAACAGTTTATGGGACTGTTGGGCCCATTTCATTTCTCACAGAAAGTTCCAGAGGTAGGTAGTCAGGCTGTGGCAGTTCTGCTCCATAGCACCTTCCAGCTTGCTGCTTCTCCTTCCCTTGGGTGTGATCCTCATGTTCATAGTCTACGATGGTAGCCATCATGTCTGTATTCCAGGCTATAGGATGGATAAGGGAGCAAACAAAAAGGGAGGGCAAGGACATGTGTCTGCTCCCTCCTGAAAAAGTTCTGGGAAACTCTCACATGATACTTCTGTTTACATTCCACTGTCCAGAACTTTGTCACCTGGCCACATCTAACGGCAAAAGAGAGTAGGACATGTACTCAACAACTGTTATTATTTTAATCAGGAAGATGAAGAGAATGTAAAATCGGGGGGCAATCATAGGATGCATGGTAGAGAGTGTCAGAGGAGGTAGCTGGGATGATGGGCACCAGATGGGGAAGGACTTGATATGACAAGCCAAGGTGTTTGGACTTCATCCTGCTGGCAATGAAGAATCATCAGATAAGTTTAAACAGCAGAGAGATATAAACTGAGCCGTTTTACTGCCATCTCTGACAGCTATATGAAAGGGTTCTGGTGCAGTAATACCAAGCCCCAGAGACCTGTTAGAAAGCAGTTACCCCAAAATGACTGTTTCTTCAATAAATGGTGCCAGGGAAGCTGGACATCTACATGCAGAAGAATGAAACTAGACCCCTATTTCTCACCATATACAAAAATCAACTCAAAATGGATTGAAGATGTAAATGGAAGACCTAAAACTATAAAACTACTAGAGTAAAACATAGGGGAAATGCTTCATGACATTGATCTGGGCAAGAATTTTTGGGATAGAACCTCTAAAGCACAGGCAACAAAAGCAAAAATAGACAAATGGGATTACATTAAACTGTAAAGCTTCTGCACAGGAAAGGAAACCATCAACAAAGAGGCAACCTACAGAACTGGAAAAAAAAAATGTCTGCAAACTATGCACTGGTTTAATGGGTTAATATTCAGAATATGTAAGAAATTCATTCCCAGCACTTTGGGAGGCTGAGGCAGGCAGATCACGAGATCAGGAGTTCGAGACTAGCCTGGCCAACGTGGTGAAACCCCCTCTCTACTAAAAATGCAAAAATTAGCTGGGTGTGGTGGCAGGCACCTGTAATCCCAGCTATTCAGGAGGCTGACGTAGAAGAATTGCTTGAACCCAGGAGACGGAGGTTGCAGTGAGCTGAGATCACACCACCGCACTCCAGCCTGGGTGACAAGAGCGAGACTCCATCTCAAAAAAAAAAAAGAAAGAACC